CTTCCTCCCCACTTCTCCCCTTTCTCACTATTCTTCTCTCCTATCTCCTCCCCTCAATCACTCTATCCCTCACTCTCTCTTTCTCTCTCTCTTCCCCTCCACTCTCTCCCTCTCTATCTGGCCTTCTGTCTCTCTTCTCTCTGCCACCACCCCCTGCCACCGTGGTTCTGCCTGACCTATTTGTATCTAGGGATCATTATTTGTATACACTGAGATTGCAGCCCAATTTCTTTGCTTTTTCTTTATTCTACCCCGCAAAGATTATATAACAAATAAAGGAATTTCTTTCCCACTTGCTGCAGTCACTGTTCCCTTCGCAGAATTCCGACATCTTTGGTGTAAGTACCTAGACTTATTTGTTTGACTGAGGCAGGCAGACTTTAGTGATTCTACCTGATTTTTCTTCTCTAGAATAAAACAAGAGGCCTCATTGCTTTGAATTAAAAATGGTGAGCCTCTCTTTTCTGGTATAGGGTTCAAAATTAGGCTTTGCCTTTCTCCAGGGGCCAGTAATCAATCACAGATATATTTGGGTGGACAAACTATTTTTCAAAAACTTTTTTAGATCATTGCCTAAGTAATTAATTGTTAGCCTTAACACCACCCAGCTACACCTGCAAATATCTAATTTAAACTGATTTTCTAGACCTGTTGTTTTCAAAGTGTGGTCCCTGGACCAACATGAGCATCACCTGGGAGCTTATTAGGACCACTAACTCTGAGCTCTGCCCCAGATGGACTGAATTGAAAATAAGGGTGGGCCCAGCAGCCTGTGTTTAGCAATCCCTCAGAGTGATTCTGATGCACTCTCAAGTCTGAGAACCCCTGCTTCAGAGTAAAGATCACCTTGGTGCCCGTGTCTGCAAATGTTTCATGCTACGTTCTTATATATGATGTTGAGGAAAACGTGTGAAATAAACCAATATCAGAAAACATGGGTCCAACCCTTGATAGCCACGACTTAGTGCAGATCTGTAAATAGGATCAGCATCCCCACATCGCAGAGCTATGGAAAAAGCACCACAAAATGGTCATTAAAAAAAGTTATGCATCTTGAAATAATAGTAAATCACTGTGTGCCGAGGTGGGGGTGAGGGGAGCTATGTGTCTCATCACCACTAGGGGGCGCTCTGGTCTTTCCAATTCAATCACTCAGAGACCCAGCGTTTTTTGTCTTTGAGGTCCTGTCATTCTCTGTATAAACAAGTTACGTTCAAGTGTTTAGGATATAAATTACGACCATGCCGGCAGCCTCGGAAGGAATGTAAACACAGCACTGTGGTCGGAGCAAACTCTGAAACTGACTTCATAATTTATAGCAGGCCCCCGAGTAGCTAAGTATAAAAGAAAAAAAAAAAAAGCCCCATTTAACTGCAAATATGATAATGGAGACACGCACACACACACAAAAAGGTTAAATCACTGCTTAATTTTGGGAAATACAGAAAGGAAGTATAAGGATTAGGAAGATGGTTAAGACTTCTTAAGACAAGATGTTTTACTAAGGAGACTGTCTTTGGACTGAAATTCACTTGGAATACAAAAATTTGTGTGAGAGATATCTATTGAGTGGTATTAAGTGCCTTGTGATTGATTGGGAGTAAGACCTTTTAGAGAATGAGGAACAAAGGTGAGTTGCAAAAGCAAAAACAAAACAAAACAAGAAACCAGCCCTGATTTGAGGAAAACCGAAGCATGATTATGGGTTGAGAACTGCTGCTCCTGCTCAGATCTAAGGTTTCCATTGCTGCCCATGAGTTTGAAGGGCTGGTTGGACACTGGTGGGCTGGGTAAGAAAAAAGTCCTCCTGCCTAGTGGGTTTATATTCTTTTTTCGTCATCCAGAGCTTCCCCAGCCCTTGCCTGTAGCATTCATGATTGGGAAACCTTGGGGGGGCCAGCAAGAAAGGAAAAAGGGCTGTGAGGGAATCCCTGAGGGAATATACCAAATCCCTTGTGAAAATTAAGGAGGGAGTATAAGGCACAAAGGAGAGAAGTGTCAGGGTTGGCGGGTGCCGAAGCTAATCAGGGCCTGCCAGGCTCTCTGAATTGGAGCATAGGGACAGAGAGCAGGCACAGAACACATTGTGAGGGCCAGGTTCTGTTACTCTCCAAGGAAGTTAAAGAAACCAGCATGCTGGCAACTGTCCACTGCTGCTCCTGCAGCCTTCTTCTGGGCTCTTTAGGATCTGACCACAATCTATAACAAAATACAATCAGCGCCAATAACAAACCTATGATTGCAGGTAGTGCTTTGTGGGCACCTAACCCTCCCTGGCTGCTCAGCCCTGCCTGTCACTCTGTGCTGGTGGAGAAGAGGAAAGCACAAAAAGCAAAACTCTCCTTGGGCACAGGAAAGAGAACAAAAGGGCACAAAACTTCATTTTTTCAAATTAAACTTTTGCCTTTCATTATCTTACCTGGTTTTCTTTTAAGTTCCTTTCGCCTTCTGGTTTTTGTTTAGCTAGAAAGAGCTAGGGTGAAGGAAAAAGAAATAACTGAAAACGTTCCTTCTCTTTCTCAATCCTGAGAAGAGCCACAATCAGAACCTGGCCTGTGCTACTCAAGGCACAGACCCCACACCACGTCAATTATACAACTTGGGGAAAAAAAGTACAGAGTTGCATTGCTGGCTAGTGGAGAGAACCTGGGGATCTCAGGATGCTGAGGAGGAAACAGGTCTCTAAGATGACTATTTGTTATGTATATTTTATTGAAAAAATTTTACATCAAAATTGTTTGGCAGACTGTAAAAGTATACATAAGTGCAAATATATCCTCCTTTTAAAATACAAGCAAAGTGTGAGTATACATGAGATCATAAAAATATCTTTAAAATATGGTGGTAGAAAACAACCTTATAAAGAACGTTGTATTGTCATAATAAGAAAAACCACATTCTTAAACTAGACACATTGTTTCTAAATACTTTCTTAATAATGTTCTTTGGCACCTGTATCCAAACTTAGTGTTTGGTGAAACAGAACTCTCTCCTTAACTAGGCAACAAGATGAGGCTTTCTTGACATTTTGTGTTTAGCACTGCCTTTTCGAAAAGCACACAGATTTTCATAGACAAAGAAAAACACACACACATCTTGTCTGCGTTTTTCAGACCCTGATTACTGAAGGTAATGAAGATCCCAGAGTTACATGTTTATGTTTTTCATGTGGTAACTTTTTACCATCTTTGTTAAGAAGCTGATTTCTCATTTACTCTCTCCCTCATTGGAGCCTGCACATATTTAGGGCATTACTATGCCAGGGCTTGTCCTTCTACCAATGGTAGACAAGTGTCCGCGAACAATGCTGGCCTGGGGATTCTAAGTGACTGGTGTGCTACTTACTGCTATTGGGGTGCACATTATGTGAGTCCACTTCAGTTCATTCCTCCCCCCACAAGGAAAGACCAGCCTTCCTCCCTCCATTCACATGACGCAGGGCTTAATATCCTGACAGACGCTCTGATGGTGGTGGTGGTGATAATATGGCCCACTAGCAGAGGGATGGAAAGAAGAAATGCCGTTAAAGTTGAGGACGAAATCTTTTCTGTCACACACTGGGGTAGAGTGATGCTGATATCGAGGCAGTCCCACTAAAAGAAGAAAGAAAATAAAAAATTCCTTTCAGAAACAAATTTGTCCGGCTGAGGCTGGGGCAAATCATTTTAAAAAATTTAATTTAGCTTGTGTCTTATTTTAACTTAGGGTAAGAAAGGAGTTGGTTGGTCTATTGCTGTAAAACTGGTAGAAGAAACCGAGCTCTAGAAGTTTCTCAAAGTTTTAAACTACAGGTCATAGCACAACTCTGGAATCTTTAATGTTTTGTTTTGATGTACCCACAAACACAGAGCACCGTTCCCTCTTTAAACCGTGTTCTTACGTGCCTGAATTCCCCTATTACCTATGGAGGCTGAGACAAGCGATTCAATCGTAGGAGGAGCACGGACACCGGGAAAACTTGACCCAGGCTCTAGGTCCAGATCCCTGAGCACAGGGCCCTTTCCAGAGCCCAAGCCCACCTCCCCAGAAAAACCGCTGTCGCCCTCACCACTTGTTCCCCAACTAACTGGCCGGGTCAGAGTATCAGACCACAGCAGGGATATTTCCTGTGTCAACTGTGGTGGGGAGGGGGGACAGAAAACAATCCCAGCGCTAGAGAAAGGGCCGGGAGAAACAGTGCGGTCTTCGTAGGTCCGGAACGGCTTAACGTTTCTTCTAGAGAAGCCAGGACTATAGGGAGCAGAGAAAGCCCTTCGAAAAGAGCTCAGCTGCAGACCCTTCTGCACATCGAGGGAGCTTTTCAGACAGCCCCAAGGACGCAGAAGTCTCGCACCTCTCTCCCTGGAGCCCGTGGGCTATTGGGCTCCGACCCGCTGCTGCCTTTTGCTTTTGCTTTATCGGCGCCTGCGAGCCCCGTGGCGCAATTGGCCGGCGTGTCTGGCGCGCCTTGAGACCTGAGTTTATCCAAGACCGGGCCTCTCTCCATGCCGGCATGGGTTAGGCCTGTTCGCCTGAGTCTTTCTAGTTACCTGTGCGGTGGAAGACCATAAGCCGCACGTTGGTGCCAGGCCTGATTCTTTTTTTGAGTGCGTGAAAACCATACCTGTCAGCCCGCGGCACGAGTACCCTGCTCGCGTCGCCTCGGTCTGGCAGTATCCTAGCGCTTACAGAGAGACCAGGATGCTAAGTAACCTGTGAATCGGCCTGCGTTTATTGCCTGATAACACCTATTGGCGCCAAATATGCGCTGCGCTGCTCTCATAAAGCACCAACTCGTCTAGTGCCCTGATGTGCGCCTGTGGCTCTGCACACAGGTGCGCTTGCCCAGCACGTTTACAGCACGTCTCGGTGCCAGCTCCCAGATCCTCATATAGAGGGCCCAGGCAAGACACCAAGTGAGCGCTCACATCTCCGCCCAAGGCCGCCGTCAGCGCTTTGATGTGACCAGAAGGACGATAAAAGCCCTAGCTCCTTCTTGAAAGGCTCCCGGGTCTTAACGAAGGGCACAGGGCCTCCCTGAACACGCGGGCCTTGGCTGCCCTGTCCCAAGTGGGAGGGCACAGCCGGCATGGGTGTGCTGTATGTGTTTGTGAGTGCGCGCGTGCGCTGCTACTCGGCCCACAGCCTCACCCCTGCTTTGTCTCCGAGCTCCTCGTTAGGCCCTCGGCTCTCAGTAGGCCGTGGCCTGGTGGACAGTACACTCCGAACGAGGTCCCACGGGGCGCAGCGCACCCTGCCCGCCTGAGAGGTGACAACAAGGGGTGGGGGTAATACTCGAGTGGTACGTGAGCCAGAAGACCAGGGAAGAAGGCACAGAGCGTCAGGATCAGACTTCTGCCGAGCCACAGACTCCCCAGCGTTCCCAGGCTCAGCCCAGAGGTCATGCAAGGCTCCCGGCGTAGGCCGTGGCGGAGGCCAGCCTGCTGGGCTAGGCAGTTTTCGTCTGTTCAAGACGGGCAGTGTCTTGATCTCCGCATTTCTGGGGCTTGTGCGTGCGTCCGGTGTGTGAGGTGGGGAGAGGGCGACCACACAGAAGTATCAGCAGAAGTCTCTTTCTTGTTTTTTTGTTTGTTTGTTTTAATTTTTAGGGCACTGCTTCAAGATGGCTGTGAAGTCTCAAAGTCTGGGTTTAAGTTGAGTAGGCCCTGCAGGGAGAGGGAGAGTGGGGAGGACAGCCCGTAGTGCCCAGAGAGAGCAGTGGGTGGGCAAGTGGGCCAGTGGGCACCGCCTGGAGTGGGTGGTGATTGACAGCCAGTCCGGAGGGATTTAAACAACAAAAAAAAAAAGTGAGGGGAGGGTCGTTTGTATTGGTTACTTGTAGAAATTCCCATAAAATTGAACAACACTGTGCTCTCAGTGGGTTCAGTCAGGCTAAAACCCTCTCCAGTGTGGTCCTGCTGAGACTGTCTTTGTTTAGTTAACCTCTGAGACCCGCATTTAAAAGGCCTATTTGGGAAATTTCACCGTCTAGGGAACCAACATCTTTTGCTCATTCTGGGTTTCCTTTTCCCCTGATGCTCTTGTCGCACACGGATTCATGAACATAAAATGTATGCATCATCCTGCGAATTATTTTCTAATAGAGGGGAAGGAAAGTAAGTGTAAGCTAGAACACCATTTGATGGGCAGACCGGCCTAATTTTAATTGAGGCCTATGAGTGCCTCAGAGGGGGTTAATATAAGAGTTTATTTCCACTTTCTTGATAAACCTGGCTAAATATTCAAATTACCTCCTCCACTGCAACCAGCCCCTTTTACAGAAAGGTTTAGCAAGTCAATAAATTTTCATAATCCATGGCCAACGTAATTTACACTAGCAACACAAATGGCATCTGAGGAGCAGGCATTTCTCAAGGAAGCCACAGTGTAGGCCTCAGGCCATGCTGGCCTAAGACAGACTCAAGTGTCATCAAGGTGTGTCACTGTGGAGGGAGGCAGGAGACTCAATAGCCTGTGAAATATCTTGAGACTCCACTCTGCTTTCCTTTCTGCCTCTTCCTCATTTCCCTTTCTCTCAACACTTGCCCTCCCTCCCCACCCCCGCCCTCAGCTTACAGAATATCTCCCTTTCTGCATCTACAAAATGAACAAAAATACAGCAAAATAAACTTTAAAAGGAACACAAGGAAGCAGACAGGGCTCCTTGGCCAGGGTCCCCTAAGGCTACATGCCTTCTCTCCAAGCTTAGTCAGACCTGAGACCTGAGACCTCCAGTCCATAGGGACATCCAGAGACCTTAGGCTGGCGATTATGCACCATCATTCTATCCGTGCAAATTCTACAGGCCTGCCTCTGGGCCGAGGGTAGGGAGAGGGCAGTATGACCCCAGTCCTCTCCCCTCCATGAATGAGGTGGCGGCTCCCCCCAGGATCAGCTTCTCCCAGTTGCACTAGGGCGACCCGGTGCAAGTTGTAGTAGCCACGGAGCCTGGAGGCCTAGAGGCAAAGTCCCCGGCGGGGCGCGCTGTGTTTACCTGAGAGATCCTCGCGGGCGTTCTGGTGCAGGTAGCTCTGCTCCAGCGAGTAGGAGGACATGCTAGAGTGCAGGCTTGCCGATGCCGCCGGGTTGTTGCTTGGCGTCAGGGCGGGCGGCTGCTTGAGGTAAGGCGAAGCGCCGGGAGAGCTCCAGTGCGCCCCGGGGCTCGTGTAAGGCGAGTGGCATTCGATGGCGCTCGCCATGGCAGGGGACGAAGGCACGGGGCTGCTGCTGCTGTCTGGGCCGTAGTCCCCGCTGCCGCCACCGCCCCCGGCCGCACCTACACTCCCAGGCCCGGCGGGCACGGGGCAGCTGGCCATGTAGGTGGAGCCCGGGTTGGGCGACATGTGCGGGACGTGGTGGTGGTGGTGGTGGTGGTGGTGGTGTGGGTGCGCGTGGCCCGGGGTGCCTGCGCCAGCGTCGTAGCCCGCGGGCATCATGTCAAGGCCCCCGTAGCCTCCTTGCCCGTGGCAGCCGAGCGGCGCCGATGAGGGCGCCTGGAAGTCGAAACTTTGGGGCAGCAGTGAGGCTCCGAAACCCAAGCCACTCACCACGCGGTGGTACATGGGCTTGAGCGCCTGGCACTTCCGCCTGAAGCCGCGCGGCCGGCGGCGGAACGAGCCCTCCTCGAACATGAACTCACTGGCGGGGTCGATGGTCCAGTAGTGACCCTTGCCAGGCCGCCCGAGGCCCTTGGGCAACTTGATGAAACACTCGTTGAGCGAGAGGTTGTGGCGTACAGAGTTCTTCCAGCCCTGGTAGGCGCCGCGGAAGAAGGGGAAGCGCGCCTGCAGGAACTGGTAGATCTCGCTGAGTGTCAGGCGCTTGCTGGGCGAGCTCTGGATGGCCATGACGATCAGCGCGATGTACGAGTAGGGCGGCTTCTCCGGCCGCCGCAGCCCCGAGCTCGCCTTCTTGGCGCCCCCGCTCCCGGCGCCCGCGCCGCCGCCGCTGCCCGCGCTCTTGCAGGCGGCAGAGGATGTGCTGGCGGAGTTAGAGGAGGAGGAGGAGGAGGAAGAAGAGGAGGAGGAAGCAGCTGTCTTGGACCTTTCTGTGAATCCTGCCTCCTTAGGGGGACGCCTTGTCTTCTCAGGTTCCAAAAAGAAATCATCTTTGAGCCTGGGCTCTAGTTTGTCACAGGATTCTATTTCTTCTGATTCAGAAACCAGCGACCCTCTGTCCTGCCAGGGGCAAACAGGAATTCTCACTGTGCACAGCTATGCCAAAGGGGACGGCAGGGTCACCGGGGGAGAGCCATGCACAAGGAAGAAAGGGAGTGCCACCAGAAGTATCAGCGAGCGGGAACTGGCCGAGGTATGGGCTCTGGGCAGTGGGAAGGAGAAATGCCAG